GCAGTAGCTCTCTCTGTGTAGTTCGCTTGAGCCACCAAAATTCCTTCTTAAAACTGATACAATTTCCCAGTCCAGAGTAAAAACTTGATGATGATGGCCAGCAAAATATTACTTCCCATGATACATTTAATAAAAGAAATAATTTTTTTCTCATACATTTTATGTTAGGTTATTATTATTTATTAATTACTGATATATAATTTTTTATATTGTTTATATAATTTTTGTATAGAGGGGGACCTCTTCTATCAGGGGGCCCTGGACAGTTGCCCCTTTTTCCCCCCTTATAAACCTGGAACTGATCACGTGTGTTACTTTGGAAACATTTCTTTTACATACATTGCAGCTGCTTATGTGGATTGATGCTTGGCGTTGCCCTTTTAGCAAAATGGGAAGAAAGGAGCTGAGACTCCATTTTACACATTAACAGAAATTCGTTAGACAGCACGTATCTGACTGAGCAAATCTCAGCTGACACATGCATAATTCAGAAAGTCCTTAATTAACCTGCATGGAAATGCTGCTGCTGTACCCCCCACTGTACGTGGCGGGAAGTCATCTCTACTGTACAATTAGCTGGTAACTCACAAGCTGACTATAAAATAAGAAGACAGTTTAAAGAGTACTGAGGTGTTAATCTGTTCACTGCAACCAATCAGAATGCAGCAGCTTAGAATAAGAACTACGAAAAATGATAAGTGATGACTATTATTGAAGCAGCCTATAAGGTCCTTTTCTGGTACCAACTCAGATTGAGAAAACATTCTCGTGCAATTGTGACAGGGGCTTCTGGTAATGTGGCCATTTAGGTGATGTGCTCCATAAATGATGGCCTTGTCTAAAATTAATATCCTTTTGGTTCAGAATTGTTGATATTGTACAAGACCCTAGAATAGCTCTTCTACCTCTCCCTACCCCAGTCCTCACTAATACCCAGCAAAAGCATGCCACCTATATGTTCAAAGCAGTTAAACAATCTACTGCCAGCAGGGCCATCTTAATGAATGGCCAAACCTGGGCACTGCCTAGGGGCTCCAGGTGCATGAAGGCCCCATGATCAGGGCTAGAACAAGGAATGGGCCTGGGCTCTGTGTTGGGGGGGGGGGGGGGGGGGTGCACAGGCGATTTGGCAGCTTGTGACGCTCTTCTTTGACAGGAGTAAATGCAATGTCACTCCTTTCAGGAGCAGCAGTGGCTGGCTAATGCTGGAGAGAGGATTCAGCCTTCTCCCTCCTGCAGGGGCAGGAAAAGAGCCTTCACTGAAGCTGAGAACTCACCTCAGTCTCAGTGGGAGAGAGAACACAGGAGCTACCTTCATTGCAGGTGGGAACAGCATTTGTGCTCCGTGAGTGCATGGGGGGGGGGGGGGGGGAGGGCACAACTCTGATCTTATATATGCAGACACTGAGGGGGCCACATGATTTATAGGGAGACCTGATGTATGGGAACATTGTGATGGGGACACATGATGTAAACAGACACTCTGATAGGGACACCTGATGCATGGGGGACACTGTGATGGGGACACCTGATGTATGCGAACACTCTGATAAAGACACCTGATGTATGGGGATGCTGTGATGTGGGACACCTGATGTATGGGAACACTGTGATGGGGATACCTGATGTAAGCAAACACTCGGATAGGGACACCTGATGCATGGGGGACACTGTGATGGGGACACCTGATGTATGCGGGCACTCTGATAGAGACACCTGATGTATGAGGATGCTGTGATCTGCAAAACCTGATGCATGGGGTGACTGTGATGGGGACACCTGAAGGATGGGGACACTGTGACCTGTTGTGTGGGGGACACTATGATGGCGACACCTGATGTATGGGGGCGCTGTGATTGGGACACCTGATGTATGGGGGCGCTGTGATTGGGACACCTGATGTATGGGGGCGCTGTGATTGGGACACCTGATGTTTGGGGGCGCTGTGATGGGAACACTTGATGTAGGCTGGTAATGTTCCCAGTACATTATTTTGCCCGGGGGCCCATGATGCTATTAAGATGGCACTGACTGTCAGAAGTCACCTACAGTGGCTTTGTAATAAGTTGAAACACATATGAATATGTTGCTTGTTTTTCTAGTATCTTCAGTGACACGCAACCAAAAATCCTCAACATCTAGGAACCCTAGCTTGTTCTTCCCACCTTAAATCTATCTAGCCACAGCTGCCTATAATTGTTTTGTTATGTCTCTTGTACAATCATAATGTGAAGTGAAAAAATTCTGCTCTACATGAAACAATGGCACAATCCATTATATAACCAAAAAACAAAGTGAAAAAATAAAATAAAAAATATATATAATAGAAGAAAAAAATATTAGAAAAAAATATTAATATTGAAATAAAAAATATAAATATATATATAAAAAAACAAAAACCACACAAAAAAATAAAAAAATAACAAATATTTCTAAGTATGAATCAAACAAAAGTCATTCAAAAAATCAAGTTCAATCAACAAAGTGTTCATTCAGTGAACCCTCCTTTGGATAATGAAAAATATGTGCATCTGTCATCAATTCCCATGCAAAGACATCCTCCATCATATATCTGCTCACCTCACGCAGTGTGACCTCACATTATACAATGTTACGGTCTAACTGCACTTTTGGTCCCATATAGACTCAGAAGCTCAGCTTGCTGAATGAAGACTCCAAAGTAAGCTCCCTCCTGATAAGCATCTTTGTATGAGCCATATTCCTCATTAAAAAGAACTCAACATAGTGCTTTATCCTTTTAAACTTTTATTCATCAATTAAACAATGTAAAGCAAGGCATACAAGTTACGTGACTAGTGACGAAATGCGTCGGAAAGGAGTGTGCAGATGACATCACGATGTTGCCATTCATCAGGATAGTGGCTTGTAGTACTCTACAAACGGCTCCTGGAATGACATTACAGCAGGCAATAGCATTCATTTAGTGGGCCCGTGCTTTGCCTTGCATTACATTATGGATGGTGTCTGTTTTGAGCTTGTACAGGACTCTGCTGCTGAGATAATACTGCCATCTTGTGTTTAATCAGTACATCACTGGATCTTCATCATACCTGGTGCAAAATACACCTCCGGAACGTGAGTGTATTTCTTATGTTTAATTGATGAATAAAAGTTTATAAGGATAAAGCACTATGTTGAGTTCTTTTTAATGAGGAATATGACTGATACAAAGACACTTATCAGGAGGGAGCTTACTTTGGAGTCTTCATTCAGCAAGCTGATCTTCTGAGTCCATATGGGACCAAAAGTGCAGTTAGACCGTAACATTGTATAATGTGAGGTCACACTGCGTGAGGTGAGCAGATATATGGTGGAGGATGTCTTTGCATGGGAATTTATGACAGATGCACATATTTTTCGTTATCCAAAAGGAAGGTTCACTGAATGAACACTTTATTGATTGAACTTGATAATTTGAATGAGTTTTGTTTGATTCATACTTAGAAATATTTGTTATTTTTTTTGTGTGGTTTTTGTTTTATTTATATACATATATATATATATATATATATATATATATATATATTTCAATAGTAATATTTTTTCTTCTAATATATATATTTTATTTAATTTGTTCATTTTGTTTTTTTTGGTTATATAATGGATTGTGCCATTGTTTCATTGATTCATTTTTTGAATGACTTTTGTTTGATTCATACTTAGAAATATTTGTTATTTTTTGTGTGGTTTTTGTTTTATATATATATATATATATATATATATATATATATATATATATATATATATATATATATATCAATAGTAATATTTTTTCTTCTAATATACATTTTTTATTTAATTTGTTCATTTTGTTTTTTTGGTTATATAATGGATTGTGCTATTGTTTCATGTAGCGCAGCATTTTTTCACTTCACATTTTGATTGTTTAATTTGCCCCACTGAGACATGGGTTGTGTGCACTAGCGGCTACAGTATTTAATTGTAATTTTTTGTTTTCATTTCACCACAGTTAGCGCTTAAATTATTCAATTTATTTTAGATTTGTTATGTCTCTTGGTCCGGACCCTTAGGGGCTGTTAAATCTTTTTCCTCTTCTTCCTCTTTCCTACTATTCATCTCTATAATTACCTCTCTCTACCTCCTCCCCATCTCCTCTCCCTTCCCACACCGTCACCATGGGTTCCCACTGTTTACATTTTGGATCACATACAAGTAATGAAATGTGGTTCACCTCTCAGATGTACCAAAGTGTATACAATGTTCTTAACTATGGCTGGTTCATAGCTGCAGCTTGTCTTGGCTGTGAGGACTTTCCCAACACAAATGATGACAAGAGGGATGCAGAGGCTGGAATGTCCCTCCTCCCTCTGTATTCTTCTTGCCATTGCTTGTCCTGGGAAAGTGTTCACAGTTGAGACAAGCTGCAGATATAATTAGCCTTCTCCTTTAAAGCTGTTGTTGAGCTGGTCACTGCAGGAGGGAATAGTGGCAGATTGGACCTTATAATTAGGATTGGAAAGCACTTAGAAACATGCAACAAAATACTTAATGTACTTTGTCCAATAGGGAACAGAACTGTAAAAAAAAAATTAATAGTAAGTCTTCTTTAATAATATTATGTCTGTTCCGATACATTTCATTAAATTGTTCGCTCTGACAGCTCATATGACACCGAGCACAATATAGGACACTCCTACTTCATCCTAAGAGCTGAGTTTTTCTTTCTGATTCAAGCCTGCTTAGTTAAAGTAGAACTGCCGCTTAAACATTTTTTGTTTCGGATAGAGTGGGGAAGAGTTAGAAGTCATAGGGCAGTGTGCTACAGTGTAAGTGCATTGTGCTGCCTAGGTGCTTTGGGTACCATATTAAACCAAAATGGCCTTTGCATGTACAAGTCCTAGTGGATCCACTAGGAAGAGCTGTGCCTTTTACTTTAATTGACCCTTCATTGGGTGGATTTATGGCTCTATCATTTTGACAATGTCATCCATCACAAATATACATCAGGTATTCCTCACCTGCAGTGAACAACGATGGGTCCAGCGTGGGCAGGATTGAGTGATTTTACTTTTTTAAGAAATTTCAGCATGCCGATGGGTGTGAAAGGCACTCCGAAGTCAGGCCAACTGGTAAAATGCAACTGAGTCACCAGTCTGGGGGCCTTGCAGCCATCATGAACCTGTATTGTAAAGTGAGGAGCAAAGATTAGATTCAAGAAAGTGATGCTTGACCTACACACAGGGGAATTTGGAACATAATCACCTGAATAAAGTTTCTTAATCCACAGGAACTGGGGTATAAAGTACATCTAAACTTGGGTAAAAATTAATCATTTATCAGGGACCAATCACTGGTACAAGATTGCATTTTTTTTTTAAACTGAGTTTTAAAAACTTACTTTACATGCATATAATCTTGAGCGCCATGCACTGCTGAGATGTGCTATGGGCAATAGGAATGTTGTTAGGTCCTGGCATCCACAGCATGTGCTCCAGGTCTTCTACTAAAAGCTCCAGGTCTTCTACCAAGTGTTCCAAGTCTTCTACCAAGTGTCCAATGTCTTTCAAGTGTCCAAAGTCTTCTACCAAGTGTCCAAAGTCTTCTACCAAGTGTCCAAAGTCTTCTACCAAGTGTCCAAAGTCTTCTACCAAGTGTGTCCCAGTGTTCTTCTACCAAGTGTCCCAGTTCTTCTGCCAAGTGTCCCAGTTCTTCTGCCAAGTGTCCCAGTTCTTCTGCCAATTGTCCCAGTTCTTCTGCCAAGTGTCCCAGTTCTTCCCAAGTGTCCCACCTCTTCTGCCAAATGTTCCATCTCTTCTGCCAAGTGTCCCATCTCTTCTGCCAAGTGCCCCGGGTCTCCTACCAAGTGCCCTGCTTCTTTACTAAGTGCCCTGGGTCTCCTACTAAGTGCCCCTGGGTCTCCTACTAAGTGCCCCAGGTCTCCTACTAAATGCCCCAGGTCTCCTACTAAATGCCCCAGGTCTTCTACGTCAGGGCTTAAAATTTCAAGTCCTGAGCTACCAGCCAGGTCTTAGAGATACTCGCCACCAACAAAACACACACAACAAAAAGACACCTGTACACACACACAGACATGTACATACACACATAAATATGTACACACATGCACAGAGACACATGTACACACACACACACACATACATACAGACACATGTATACACACACAGGGACGTACAGACACACATGCACACAGATACATGTACATACACAGAAATACACAGACACATGTACATGTACATACACACAAACACACACACACAAGCAGACACATGTACAGATACACACATGTACAATTGTACATGCATACACGGACACACACAAACACATGTACACGTACACACACCCCCCCCCTCATAAAAAGTTGCAGTACTTTGTTGTTCACTCACAGATCCGAGTACTGCACTCCTTGCTTTGCTTTCACTGTGCTCAGCTATTGAGCGGTCTGACGGCTCCCAGTGCCAATGACAGATCCGGTCTGAGCTCCGAGCCTGCTCAGCAAGACAACCCTGGGGGGGACACTCGCTCCCACCATAATTTCCACTCGCCATTGGCGAGCAAGCGAGTGGAAATTTCAAGCCCTGTTCTACCTAGTGTTCCAGGTCTTCTACTAAATGCCCCAGGTCTTCTACTAAATCCCCGAGGTCTTCTTCTACTAAGTGACTTGCCTCTTCTACCAAGTATTTCATTTCTTCTACTACATGTCCCAGCAATGCCCCTTAGAGCCACAGATCACCTTTACTGTAATGGCTGTTCAATCTTTCTTGAACTTTATTTCACATCTTCACTAGTAACAGCATTTTCCTTTCACACATTTTTAGAATTTTGTAGGAAGATAATTTCTTGCATTAGAAAATCTGTCCTGTAGTAAAAATTATTGGGTTTCTATGTTTACCACTACTGCACACTGTGAGAAAAGGGCCAGAGCATTAAAGACTCAGCACTAAGAGAGATCAGTAGGATAAAGGAAAAGACAGGGAAGGTAGTAAAAAAAAAATGGAAAGGGATGAAGTAGGATACAAGATCTAAGTGCCCAGGGTGTCTTTTGGGACCCCAACAATACCCCTCATTACCAGTAGGTACTTTGCTCTTGTCATTCCCTCCATGTGCTATACATCATAATGACTAATGAGGCCAGCCAGGGAACCAAACTAAGTTTTAGTAAGAAACAAATAAGTTGCCAATGACTTACAGGCTGTATGCAGAACTTTCGTATCGTGTAGTCTACCAGGACAATAACATCCTCCACAGAGACTCTGATGTTACCATAAATCCAGCAGCCTTGGTCAGGCCAGTACGGGTAACATTTGTCCTGGAAAAAAAAGATGAAAAATGATAGAGATGAGTAAAATCTTTCTAAATATAAGAAAACATTTCAAAAGTTTAGAAACGCTAAACACGTTGAGTTTTATTTCAATTTCAATGCAGCTAAGGAATACAGTGGTGTCACCAGTCTGCTGCTCATTGGACAATAAAGGAGCAGCAAGACACAGAAAATCCATGAACTCAGCTCATTCTGCTCTCTCCTCCTGTCAGCAGGCTCATGTGCATGTAGCAGAGCCTAATTGGCTTTTAGTGCTGCCCCTCCCTCTCCAGTTTGAGTACTGCTGTGCAGGAGATATCAGAAGGCCGATATAAAAACAGATTCAGGTACTTATTCTACTTCTATTTAAAATAAATGTTTTATTATTTTTAAAGGCATACAATAAACTGTGTCTTCATATCTGCCAGTTGTTTGGCTTTGATTTTTTAATGTCTCCTCATTTTTGTCCTCACTGTCTGCATAAAAATGACTTTATTTCCTCTTTAACCTTGACAAACACAGTGATAACAATCTACTTCAACAGCCATTAGTGTTATCTATATAATGAAGTAAATGCTTTGTAGTTCATGTATTAAAATTCAGAAACGGCCCATCACCATAAATCATGAGATGCGAACCTGATGACATCATCGCTAGCCTTTTCTCTACTCTCTAGGGAACCTTGAAGTGAACTGTACAACACAAGCATTAAGGAACACTATTCTACATTCTCCCAGCATTTCCGTATTGCAGCTGCACCCATCTCCCGAACGTTAATACCAACTTTGGGCTGAACTCTGCAGAAAGACTAAATATACACCAGCAAAAAGGAAGGTCACCTCTTTTCTTTCTTTCAGGTTGGTGAGCATGACTATGGTTGCCGACTTCTGTTCCCAGACCATCCTCCAAAAGTCGTTAACTGTATCTTGCTTGGGACCTGTGGGATCAACACCATTGGTTTTTATGTCAGATCCATCCATAAAGTATTGTTTCTTATTTAAATACGTCATTGATTTTTTTTCCCCCCAACAAAGCTGGAATGTTACTCAAGTTTCTCTAGTTGGGAATAAATATAGAATAAATTCAGTTTTACGCATTGAGCTCAACAGCTTTGCACCCAGAATGTGGATGACCAAAGAAATGTGGACAACCCTCTGAATTAATTCAGGTTTTTTCCAGTGAAGGTTACTGTTAATGTCACCACATACAAAGACGAATTGTGCTTCTCCAATCTTCAGATCCTTTGGAGGAGCACAAAGGTTTCCTTGAGACCATGGGGAAGGCTTTTTCTGTTCCAGCATGACTGGATCCTTGTGCACAGAGCAAATTTCATTAAGACTTAGTTTGATGAATTTGGTGAGAGGTGGCTCATGTCAGTGGCAGATTACATTCTGTGGAGGTCCCTAGGCAGTCAAAACCTTGGGGGCCCCCCCTCACAGGTTTCTGGAGGTTTCATGTGCACATGTTCTAGTTGGATAACATTGAAATAAGTAGTGTGCATGTCGGCCGCTAAATGGAGATGACCACCACAACTGTACATTACACTACGTAAGTTACACCAGATATTTTTTACAAACTGACAGCTGAAAGAAGATGAGCTTTTAAGAGACAAATTGTAATGTGAATGTCCATGGTTTAGGTACTTTAGGTTGTTATTGAGTATATTGGATTAATAGTGTTTTCTCTAAAAATTCTTTAATGTAAAGCTTTCATTTGTTTGAATTTATTATTTTTTTCTATCTTTTGCAAACAATTTAGGAAATCTTCATTGTAATTTTCTTTCACGATCAAACCAATATTAATTTGATATGGGGGCCTTAAACAGCATGAGGTCCATAGGCTGCTGCCTACTCTGCCTATTTGGTAATCTGGCACTGCTCAAGTGGCTTGGTAGCATTAGGTGCATTCATTTTTTTTTTTATTTCATAGGCTTTTATTTAGAATTAAACAAAAAAACACTTAAAAAAAAAAAACGCTTATAAAATATATAAATCATATAAATAACATTTTCCACATGAAAAGTGTTAATGGTATATTATTTATATATACAGTCAGGTCCATAAATATTGGGACATTGACACAATTCTAACATTTTTGGCTCTATACACCACCACAATGGATTTGAAATGAAACGAACAAGATGTGCTTTAACTGCAGACTGTCAGCTTTAATTTGAGGGTATTTACATCCAAATCAGGTGAACGGTGTAGGAATTACAACAGTTTGCATATGTGCCTCCCACTTGGTAAGGGACCAAAAGTAATGGGACAATTGGCTTCTCAGCTGTTCTATGGCCAGGTGTATGTTATTCCCTCATTATCCCAATTACAATGAGCAGATAAAAGGTCCAGAGTTCATTTGGAATCTGTTGTTGTCTGTCCTGCCTAGCTTTCTCATGCCAAACTACCCAGACCCTCCCACTCTCCCATTGCCACAACATAAAGGCTAATCATTCTGTAGTCCAAGACAAGGACTAGGAAGGTGCATTACTGTCCTTGAGACAACAAAGGAGGTGAGCACAGGACCGCTCTGAACTTCTGGCATGATCAACAGGTGTTCTGCCATAACTGCTAAAAAAAAAGTGTTAACGTGAGTTGGGATTTAATTTATTTGTCTTTCACTTAAAATTTAAGTTCAACTTCAGCAAGATGTTTCCCAAATCCCCCTATACAAAATTCCTTATCCTGTTAATAGTACATACCAACACTCCTCCTGTTATTGATTACACATGCAGCTGTTGGGGAATCTCTTGCTTAAAGTGGTTCTGAAGGCAGAAGGTTTTTTACCTTCATGCATTCTCTGCCTAAAGGTAAAAAAAAACTTCAGTATGCAGCTCCCCCACTCCCCAGCTCAACCAATACTTACCTGAGCCCCATCTTGATCCAGCGATGTGCACAAGAGCAGAAGCACTCTACGGTCTCTCTCTCCTCATTGGCTCAGTAAGCAAGCAGCTTATTATGGAGGCAGGAGGGAAGGGCCAGGAACACCGACGAGGGACCCAAGAAGAGTAGGATTGGGGCTGTTCTGTGCAAAACCATTGCAATGAGTAGGAAAGTAGTACAATTCAAAGTCTATTTAAAACCAACATGTCCATCTAAGGCTTCATTTACTTGGGCGTATCTAAGTGGACATCTGTGTGAAGGGCCACGTTTGCCCAAACAATTTGCTCTTGCTATCAATCCCATTCTTCATAATTATTGGGACGCAGCAGATGCAGGATGCAAGTGTATGATCCAATTGCACACGTTCCTGCGTTAAAAATGGCTGTGTGTATAAGTGGTGCTGCGGTGCTGCGGTGACCGTTGGCTGGAACCGAACAAAATCAGCAAGGAAAAAATGTCACCAGCACACCGAGGATCACCAATATGTGACCACACATGCCTGATGAAGGGGTCCTGCGAGACTCCGAAACGTTGCCTTGCTGTAACTATGTGATGGTTTATTAAAACCTTTGGACCCATATTGGTGGTCCTCGGTGTGCTGGTGACATTTTTTCCTTGCAGCAGATGCAGGGATACAGCCACTGGTCTCAATTTTTGGAGAAGATTTGTGTCCTAAGTAGATGACTTCTCCATGGTGGTTCCAGCCTGACCATCTAAGGCTCTGTCATCTGGGATGGTGCTCACTCAGTTATACGCCGACCCTGCTTCTGTACACTTATGAGTGCATATTGTTGTTTTTTATCTTTGGCTGCTATAACATAGCTTGCTAAACCATGAGGCTGGTCTGCACCCATCTTTTTCTGTTTTCTTTTTAGATGCTGGTCCCCCAAGACACTATAGAAAGAGGCAGCACAGCCATCAGTTCCTACTAGGTATTAGCTAATATTAGTCCTCACTGTTTAGCTAAGAGCACTACCTCCGGGATTGGTGATGCTATCACTGCTAGTATAACAGGTTTTTCCATTGTAGGTTTATCATTGTGGTTTTATCATCATGTGGTTATTTATTATACAGTAAGCTCCATTTAGTGTGACATATCTAATGTTTGTTTATATATACTTGTTGCCATTTGGTTACTTTGTGGGCCATTCTTCTTCTCTTCACGCCCTTGGTGGTTATTTAGGCACCCTACAGGTCCTATTCTTCATTGTTTCCAGTTTTCAGGGTCATTCAGTGCGCCTTGGGTAGTTTTTTCTTTTTTCCTCTTTTAATTCAGGAACCTTAGATATGCCCATGAGAACAAGTCCTAAGACTACCCTGTCCACAGGGTGACAACACTGCTGCGTGATTTCACTTTACAGCGAACAGCGAGTTATCACCTTATTCGTCCAGTAGAAAAATAACGGATCTACTGGCAGGATCAAAAGGTATTAAAACTAAGTAACAGGTGGGACTCGGGAAAACCAAAACTTCTGTGTTAATGCTGGAGACAATTGCATCTTCTAAATGTCATTTTGCTTTTATCTAGAGCTCTACTTAAAATACAAAAATTGCTATGACAGTTATGTTTGTTATGGCGCTATACACTCATTGGCCACTTTATTAGGTACACCTTGCTAGTACCGGGTTGGACCCCCTTTTGCCTTCAGAACTGGCTTAATTCTTCATAGCATAGATTCAACAAGGTGTTGGAGACTTTGGTCCATATAGACTTGACTTACTGTTGCCTTTCTATCTTTCATCTTGAACCAGTCTGCCCATTCTCCTCTGACATCAACATGGAATTTTTGTCCACACAACTGCCGCTCACTAGCGATTTTTTTGTTTTCGGACTATTCTCTGTAAACCCTAGAGATGGTTGTCCATGAGAATCCCAGTAGATCAGCATTTTTCGAAATACTCAGACCAGCCCGTCTGGCACCAACAACCATGCCACATTCAAAGTCACTTAAATCCTCTTTCTTCCCCATTCTGATGCTCGGTTTGAACTTCAGCAAGTCGTCTTCACCACGTCTAGATGCCTAAATGCATTGAGTTGCTGCCATGTGATTGGCTGATTAGCAATTTGTGTTACCAAGCAATTGAACAGGTGTACCTAATAAAGTGGCCAGTGAATATATAATAAAACTGGATTTACATTTTAAAGTGGAACTTTAGTCAGAAAAGTCCTCTGAGGTCACTTCAGGCTGGCCCATTTTGCAAGTATAGCTATGTAAAACATAAAAAATAAGTGATTACACTGTTTAACCACTAGCCTACAGGGCAGTTATACTCCCTTCCTGCCCGGGCCACTTTCCAGCTTTCAGCGCTGTCACACTTTGAATGACAATTGCGCGGTCATGCAACACTGTACCCATATGAAATTTTTATCATTTTTTTGAGACAGATAGAGCTTTCTTTTGGTGGTATTTACTCACCTCTGGGATTTTTATTTTTTCTTAAACAAACCAAAAACCACTGAAAATTTTGAAATAAAAAAAATTTTTTCTTAGTTTTTGTTATACAATTTTGTAAATAAGTGATTTTTCTCCTTCACTGATGTGCGCTAATGAGGCTGCAGTGATGGGCACTGATAGGCTGCACTGATGGACACTGATAGGTGGCACTGATGGGCACTGATGAGGAGGCACTGGTAGGTTGCACTGATGGGCATCGACAGGCATCACTGATGGGCACTGAAAGGCAGCACTGATACCTGACACTGATATATGGCACTGATAGGTGGCACTGACAGGTGACACTGACTGGCACTGTTAGGCGGCACTGACTGGCACTGTTAGGCGGCACTGACTGGCACTGTCAGGCGGCACTGACTGGCACTGATGCGCACTGATAGGCGATACTGACTGGCACTGATAGGTGGCACTGATTGGCAGCAATGATAGGTGGCACTGACTGGCACTGATGGGTGACATTGAAAGGCAGCTCAGATGGGCACTGATATGTGGCACTGATGGGCACTGGCACGTGGCACTGATGGGCACTGACAGGTGGCACTTCTGGGGCCACACTGATCATCAGGGCACACTGATCATCAGTGCCCTGATGATCAGTGTACATGTCCCCTCCACGGAAAGCCGATTACTGGCTCTCCTCTCCTCTCGAGCTGTCAGCGTGACAGCTCGAGAGGAGAGAAATGCCGATAACCGGCATTTCCATGTTTACATGTGATCACCTGTGATTGGACACAGCTGATCACATGACCGAGCCGACATCTTCGGCTCTTTCCGTGATCCGCTGTGTCCGAGGGACACAGTGCACTGGCGATCGCTGTGCTGCGCGCTCCCTGAGCTGCGCATGCGCAGTGAGAATGGTAGAACGTCATATGACGTCCTATCAGAACGAGAGAACCACCTTGCGCCTGTCATTGTACTATAGGGCGGGCGGAAGGTGGTTAAAATCCAGTAATACACTGTCTCACTCTGCTCTTTATTTTTAGGCACTGTGTTGAATTTGTAGAGGCCAATTTGCTGACAGCCTAAATATTTACTGCTGCTCAGGGGGTCTGGACTTCAGCAAAATAGCAGCCTCTGGCAAGAAGAAACAGGGACAATTCTGGAGGCAATTTACAGCACACACTAATTTTGGTAGCAAATTGTTATGGGTAAAGTTCTACTTTAAACGTTACAAAAAACAAGCTTCAAAAAGAGTGCTAGCTGGGGGTCGCTGCTCTCCATATGATAAATGATTGCTGTACCAAAGTCATAGTGGGCTGAACGGCGGAATTTTTATATTTCCTGAGCTCCACCTAAAACTAAAAATAAAGCCTTCTACTTTCTACAGATCTAACTTGACTCCCAGGCCTCTTAATGAACAGAAACTTGTGAATGAGGCTGGAATGTCACACATTTCACTTCTTAGGAAGTCTATAGGGCGGGAAAAAAAAAAACAATATATATTGGCCGTCTCTTCCTGTTTCAGTACAATCACATCACATGAATGTTTCCAGTAATACAGTACGAATGGCTTTACAGCGCCGAGGCAATCCTCATCAGTGGCGCTATCTTTGGATCATTATCTTCTCGGCCTGTTTCCTAGCTCTGGCAGAAATAGACTCCTACATGAGACATTTGGTGTTGTAACTTCTCTATCAAGATATAGTGAGACATCTATATGTTTAGTAGTCCGTTTTTGTTATATCTACACCAATATACTGTTTTGTTTGTCAATGTTTCCACTTAAAGTGACATTAAAGTGCTATTACATCCAAAATCAAAAATGTAACATAATGCAGCTTACCAGTTATTTGATGATGTGGCTGCATTTGTTTTCTTTTTTGTAGGCTTTTTCCCTCTGTTTTCACCTGGTGATCAGGCCAGTAACACACCTTCTGTATTAGAGTATCTCCACTCTGGATTAAGGAGCACAGGGGGCACCTTTGGAATGCAGCAATGTCAGTCTGGGGGGTGGGGAGTGTTAAACCAGCCATAGATTGATCACATCTTGGCCAGTTCAACAGATATCAACAAAGATTTGATCCATCTATGGGCAGGTTGGTTGTACTAAAGTTGATCCGTCGTTTGACTTCAGTACAACCAGCCTTTCGGATTTTTTTTGCATGCCATTTCTGCCGGCGGTAAGAGCCACCAGCAGTAATTGTTGTGTTCTGGCAGCAGGGAAGGTTCCCCACTGGCAGAACACAATAGTGCTGCAGGAGGGATTCCCCAATTAACAATGACTGTGTAGATGGAGGAATTAAACAATATCCTTTCCTGCAACCCATGGTTACAGGAAAGAAAACTGAATCATATATGGCTTGCTTTGGATGTACTAACAGATTAGACACACTAACAAATTAAAGCCAAACTGCAGCTCACACTTTATAATCAGTTACAGCAAACCATTTTTTTCCTTTTGGGATAAAGGTTTTACATAAATAAATAAAAGCTGATCACTGTAAGCAGTCCTGCCAGTGGTAAATGGTTTGTCTCATCTCTGTAATCTGATATTTCTGCAAGAGAGCTTGTTCTTTTGAAAATTAAAACAGCCTTACTGGCTGGATCACCAGATGAAAAGAAAAGAAAGAAAGCCTAAAAAAGAAAACAAATGCAGCCATCACATCTAAGAATTGGTAAAGTGCAATCTAATAAATGTTTGCTTTTGTGTTTAATACTGCTTTAAAGCTATTTATATATGAGATGCCTATAGTAGGATTTGCACACTCTTGTTGTTTTTAAACATTTCTTCGTTCTTCTTGCTCTGCTGTCTTCAGGTATGTGGGTGCCTCTGTATCTACTGGGGTCTACGGAGTCTTGCCGGAGTCCCCAATTCATGCTCACTGGTTAGAACTACAGCCTTATGTGTAGCTCTTTCCAACACCACACACACCAGTTTATTTCTTTAGAAAGCAGCCACAACGTGAGTAGAAACATCTGTCCACTGCCAGCATGCTGCAGAGTAGGATCTTTCTTCTCTACGTAGAATTAGTGGCCTGTCTACAGAGAAATTACTCCCCCCAGCAGACTCAGATTGCAACCAGCAAATCTCATGCTCCCTGTTGATGAGTTGGGAGCTCTAGCTCACCATGAGGTGTATCAGACCTCTGCAGAGAGACCACTGCTTCCACACAGAAAGCAAGGGTCCTTCTCTGCAGCATTCTGGCAGCAGACAGGCTTTTCTACTGTAGCTGCTTTCTAACTGTAATGCTTTGAACAGCTTTTGTTTTGATGTACCTGGAATGTATGTTGAATGATTTAAAGTGAAATTTCAGTTTGGATTTAAAGTGAACCTGTGGCTCTGCTCAACACATTTCCTGACATATTTGTAAAGTGCTGAGCAAACTGTTAGTGCTATATAAATCCTGTATAATAATATACAACCAAATCTTCTATTTCTCCTATCAGTTCATCCCCCACAGTTATTACCTTTTGTACCACCAGCCCCTCGCTTTTAGATTGTAAGCTCCAAGGAGCAGGGCCCTCCTAACCCTCTTGTATTGAACTGTATTGTTGCTGTATTGTCTCCCTTTATATTGTAAAGCGCTGAGCAAACTGTTGGTGCTATATAAATCCTGTATAATAATAATACAACAGAATCTTCTAGTTCTTCTATCAGTTCATCCCCTGCAATTATTACCTTTTGTACCACCAGCCCTTCCCTACTAGCCCTCTTGTATTGAACTGTATTGTTGCTGTATTGTCTCCCTTTATATTGTAAAGCACTGAGCAAACTGTTGGCGCTATATAAATCTTGTATACTAATAATACAGCCAAATCTTCTATTTCTCCTATCAGTTCATCCCCCGCAGTTATTACCTTTTGTATCACCAGCCCCTCCATCTTAGATTGTAAGCTCCAAGGAGCAGGGCCCTCCTAACCCTCTTCTATTGAACTGTATTGTTGCTGTATTGTCTCCCGTTATATTGTAAAGTGCTGAGCAAACTGTTGGCGCTATATAAATCCTGTATAATGATAATACAACTGAATCTTCTATTTCTCCTATCAGTTCATCCCCTGCAATTATTACCTTTTGTACCACCAGCCCTTCCCTACTAGCCCTCTTGTATTGAACTGTATTGTTGCTGTATTGTCTTCCTTTATATTGTAAAGCGCTGAGCAAACTGCAGTTTGGATTTAAAGTGAACCTGTGGCTCTGCTCAACACATTTCCTGACATATTTGTAAAGTGCTGAGCAAACTGTAGGCGCTATATAAATCCTGTATAATAATAATACAACTGAATCTTCTATTTCACCTATCAGTTCGTCCCCCGCAATTATTACCTTTTGTACCACCAGCCCCTCGCTCTTAGATTGTAAGCTCCAACGAGCAGGGCCCTCCTAACCCTCTTCTATTGAACTGTATTGTTGCTGTATTGTCTCCCTTTATATTGTAAAGTGCTGAGAAAACTGTTGGCGCTATATCTATATCTATCCATTCAGTCGTATCCGAGCCTTGGCGATTGCATGGACCGTCACTTGTAAGCGACTTTTTCCATGAATTCTCTTAGCAATTATTTTACAGGGTAGGTTGCCAGGTCTTTCGTTGCGCGTATATAAATTCTGTATAATATTAATAATATATACTTCTGCTTGAGGGAGAATTTTGTAAATCTGTTGATCACATACAATAGTAATGGAACAGTATAGAAGTAAAAATATGGAAGTCATGTGAATGTGTTACAATTAAGGGTGAGCTTGCGATTGGTCCGAACCCACAAGTTACTCCCATTTTTGGGCCAATGAGCTGCAGGTGGGAGATTCCCCACCCTGCAGCTGTGCGTATACTAAGAGCACACATGACTGTGCCATCATTGATCTAATATGGCCACGTTGCTATAGTAGGTCAATGACATTTTAATAGCGCTCTATTCCTCAAAGCACATTCGTGAAGCATATTGCTGTGCTTCACTCTGCTTTTTTTTTTGGCAGCAGTATGGCGGGGTAAGGTCATATCACTTCATTTTACATTGGACCCTTAATGCCATACGTGTAAAATATGAACTCTTAGATTGCCTAGACAAGGTTTTCACTGAGCACCCATCCTGGGACTGCACAGAGAACACCTTCTCGCAAGCTCGCAGCACTTACTTACCTTGAGCCGCTATGAATTTGTTTTTCTCTTTATAGCCCTGAAATGACAAAACAAAGAAGAGAAGATGTAATATGCATCATCTGTGCAGAGAAGTGAGAAGAGAACATGCAGGGAACAGATGGAGGACTCGGCTCTTACATCAATGTATGAAGTGTTAATGTAGTCTGAACATGCGCATCCTTCAATCGGCGTCAACACGACTCTGGAGTGGTCATCTGAGAACAAAGAGCAGAGAGAGGTAGTTAAAGCGTTTCCAGGGGATTTCTTTGATACTTTCCAACAGTCAGAAAATGCAATGGGAGACATTATGGGGTTTATTTACTAAAGCTGGAGAGTGCAAAATCAGACTCACTTCTGCATAGAAACCAATCAGCTTCCAGGTTTCATTGCCAAAGCTTCATTGAACAAGCTGAGGTTAGAAGCTGATTGGTTTCTATGCAGAAGGGAGTCTGATTTTGGACTCTCCAGCTTTAGTAAATAAACCCCTTTAGGTCTACTGAAACCTATAGGGTAAACATGGGTCAACGTGCATTTACTGGTTAGTTACTGATATAAATGGCGTAGGACATTGAGGTGTGCTCACCATAGGTTCATTTTCTGATCCATTAACACAAGCTATAGAGGCAACGTATGTCAACCCATGACAACCCATCTGCTTAAAGCTGAATTCCAGGAATTCAGCTGCTTTGTAATAGTTGCAGGCATACCATGAGGTAAGTCTAACAAGGTGCCTGTCCCCTTGTAGACTTATCTCTATTGTTCACATCTGACAGGTTTATTGTGCTCCAGGAAGATAACTTTCAGGGCTCTACTGCTTTTCACTGTCCGTCTCAGTTCCTTCAAGTCGCTGGAACTGTTATGCCCGCTCCTCCCCTCCTTCTGTCCATTCACAGAAGCCTTTGTATTTTGAAAAAGCGTTCACGTAATACAAAGGCTTCTGTGAATGGGCAGGAGGGAAGGGGAGGGGTGGGCATAACAGTTCCAGTGACTTTGCCCTTGAAAGTACTGAGATCTTCCCATTTTGGGGGAAGCTCCACTTTAGGTCCTGGAGATGACATGCATCTAATTGGACTTAAATTGGAGCTCCACCCAAAAGGGGAAGTTCTGCCTTAAGGCCTTGTTCCCTGCTCCCCGTTAAGGATTGGCACCTTTGGGTAGTGGGGGGACCCGAATTTGACAGGTACCTGCTCCCATTTCCACTGCGATCGCCTAGGCTATCGGAAACGATAGTCATCCCTCCCTCTTTAATCTTCTGGGACACGTGACAGGTCCAAGAAGACTACGGGAGCATTTACAAATGCGCATGAGCAGTGGGCACCCGGCTGTAAAGCCACAAGCTGTCACAGCCGGGTGCCCACACTGAAGATACTTGCGCCAGGGACAGAGAACGGCCAGTGAACCCAACTGCAGTAAGGACACCGCAGGATCAAGGGACAGGTAAGTGTCTGTTTTTTAAAAGTCAGCAGCTACAGTTTTTATAGCTGCTGACTTTTATTTGTTTTTTTTTTAATCTTAACTAGAGCTCAGCTTTAACTCATATTGTGCCTGTACTTCTGAACTTTGTACAAAACAAATATTGTCTAAATACAAAAGTCGTGTGTATTCTTCCTTGAATCTTGGTGTGCTTTGTGTATTTCTTCCAGATCTGTGCAGTAATTCGGTGTGAAACTTTTTCTCTGTAGGAGCTTCCTGTATTAAAGACCAGCCACTGCTGCTCTCTCTCCTTGTACAAGGTGATTGGTCTTGTCCCCACCCCTACCTGTAGTTTTCAGTACACAGCCTGTAGTGGGTGGGGCTTACTGGGCCCCTCCCACAACTCTGCTCTCTGCACACTGCAGCACAGTGATGATGTCACTGCTATACTTACAATGCATCTGAGTTTGTAAAGGCATTTAGTGCGCAAAAAGCAGATTGATAGCTATTGAGGAATACATGTACATTAAAAGGTTTGCACCCAGGCTTCAATTTCACACTTTTGTGGTGTGGTCATGAGTACAAAAATACATGCATTACTGCACAGCAAAGGTGTGAAACCAGCTCACTTTTCACTATAATCTGACCTAGGATCACGTCCTGTCATGGTAACCACTGCCAAACGAACAGGATGTGAGGTAAATGCTCTACGACTGCTACACGATCAGAACTGCAGTGATGTGCTTTAGGCCCCTTTCACACAGGCGGTCAGTTTTTTCATCAGTTCAGTCCCATTTTTTCCAAGTAAAGGCCCTTTTCTCCGTTGATTCCCACTGAGCAAGTGAATGATAGCTCTGTGTCTGCTCCGCTGCCGCAGAACAGACACAGAGCTACTCGCTCTCCTCAATGGGCGGTCGGATGAAAACGGACCGCCTGTCCATATTCATCCGACGGACAGAAGGGGAATTGGATCGTCATTTTTGGCGGATCGGATACGTGTCCGTTTACACCCTCCGCTCCATAGAGGAGAATGGAGATTCCGATCAGGTCCACCTGAAAAACGAGCAGGCGGTCCCGATCAAAACATCCATGTGAAAGAGCCCAAAAAGGATCCATTTACATCTGATTTTGCCCATTTACATCAATTGTCGCCCATTTACATCAGTTTTTCATCCATTTTCATCTGTTTACATTCGTTTTCCATCCATTTTCGTCAGTTTACACCCGTTTTAGTCCATTTACATCCGGGTTTTTTTGTCCATTCTGGTTTAAGCCTGGGTTCACATACGTGTGGCTCCGTATATCGCATGTGATTCGCAAAGGAACCGCACTGCATTCCTGTGCAAATCACATGTGATTTGTGTGCTGTGTGATCGGAGCCATATATTCTGTATGGCTCTAATCGCACCACATCTGCACCAAAAACGTGCAGGACCCTTTTTTGGGTCCGCACTAGAATCGAATTCACATCTATGCGATCCGATTCTTCACATCGCACTGCATTTTGCGGACCACTTTCACACTTTTTTTTTTTCACTTTTAACATACACACCTGCAGCGCTTCGCATGAATGGGGTACAATTCTGATGTTGTGCGGAATTTGCACTGAAAACACTGAGAATTCCGCACAGCATCAGTGTGAACCAGGGCTAAAGGAAGAAAAGGGTTTTCTTCAGTTAAAAAAAACGGATGTTAACGGATGTAAACAGATGTTCTTCTGTTTACATCCACTAGTCCATAGAAATACATGGGTGTTTGTTTTTCATCCGTAAACGGATAGATGAAAAACGGACATACGGAACACCTGTGTGAAAGGGGCCTTACTGTAACGCGCCTCAAAGGTGTGGAGGCTGGCTTTACACCTATGTGTCTGCGTTTTCCTGTATTTGTCAGTGCTTTAGGCAGGTACATTGTCTTGGGATGAAGTTGGGTTGTCTTTCGTTGGCCCCATAAAGCACATCTTTGCTATAATTCTGTATGGCACCTCAATGCACCTTAGGCTACTTTCACACTGCTCCGCTGCAAAAACACAGCAAAAACGCATAGGCGTTTTTACCGCGCTTTGAATGTTTTGAAAGGACAAGTGACTTAAAAACTGCACCAAAAACGCTTCTCAGAGACATTTTTGAGGCTCTTTTCAGGCATTTTCCATTGATTTTAATGGAAAGAGGTATTTTTGGGGTGTTTTCTTTAACTCCCCAAAGATGCTGCAAGCAGTAGTTTTTACACCGCACCGCAAGTGCAATGCCACAGTGTGAAAACATACATAGATATACATTCACATACATAGGGAAGCATTTTTCTTGAGTTTTTCATGCACTTTTTTAACGCAAAAACACTTAAAAAACTCCTCAGTGTGAAAGTAGCCTTACAAATGCCCTCCAACGCACATTGAAAGTATCTCTGTGTTGTGTAAAATAGTACATGTGCATTGTGGTGCATTAGCATGAATGGGCTGCCCTAACAGGAGGCTAACACAAGGCACATATGTGTGGGGCCCAGGGGCGGACTGACCATTTGGAAACTTGGGCACTGCCCGAGGGCCCAGGGTCAGTAGGGGCCCCATGAGATGCCCCTGGTACCTTTTTCATAGGGTTTTTTGAGTTTGGGCAAGGACACAGGGGGCCCATAATCCCCTATTGCCCGGGGACCCCATGAGTTGTCAGTCCGCCCCTGGTGGGGCCCTAAATTCAAAGTAGAATTTCAGGCTATATGCAACTAATCCCCCTCCTAACACTTATTCTGACAAATTTGTGTAAGAAAGATATATATATATATATATATATATATATATATATATATACTTAAAGTGATATTAAAGGCAATTAAAAAAATAAATAACAAACATGTTATACTTACCAGCAGTGCAGTGGTTTTGCACAGAGCAGACCCGGATCCTCCTCTTCTTGGGTCCTTGCCTGCACTCCTGGCCCTTTCCTCCTGCCGAGTGCCCCCAGAGCAAGCAGCTTGCTATGGGGGCACCCAAGCAGGCTCGCTCCCGAGCCACTGCTTTGTGTCCATTGTGTCCATTGCCGTGGCTTGGCCCACCCCCTCTTTCTCCTCATTGGCTCTCAGGCAGTGACTGACAGCAGTGGGAGACAATGGCTCCCACTGCTGTCATAGCCAATGAGGAGGGAGAGTCCCCAAGGAGCCAAGGTTCTTGTGCACATCGCTGGATCACGATGAAGCTCAGGTAAGTATTAGGGTGGCTGGGGAGCTGCACCCAGAAGGTTTTTTACCTTCATGCATAGAATACATGAAGGTTAAAACCTTGAGCCTTCACAGCCACTTTAACTATTTTGAGGCTGGTCTGGTCATGTGATCCACTTCCCCCACCTCCCCCTCCCTTTAAATTGTAAGCTCCTTGGCTAGGGGCCTCCTATGCCTACTGTATTAAACTGTATTGTAGTCATACGGTCTCCCTATTTTATTGAAAAGCGTTGTGCAAACAATTGGCACTATATACATTCTGTATAAAAATAATCTGCTCCTCTGTGTCAGCTAGGAGCCGCTGCAGGGGAGAGGAAGAAGTGCTGACAACAGATGGGCCATAGTAACCTAATGGGTGATGTCACCACTCCCAGGGACTCTCTCCTTTCCCTGCAGCTGATGCTGTTTGACACAGGGTAGATCACGTGACCAGATCGGTGTGGCCTGAAAATCAGTAAATATGCAAATCTTTCTTATACAGGTTAGTCGGAATAAGTGTTAGGAAGGGAGAGGGGACATTTTGAGGATTAGTTCGGTATATCCCAGAAATCCACACTTTTGTAATATTGTATTTTTGTTATGTTACGGGGAT